TCTCCTGCATCTATATGTGGAGGCAAATCCCCAGGATTCATGCAGCATTGCTTTTGATTCTGGTTTGAGCTTGTCTGTGCAGCACTTGGGTCAGTTTAGTATTTGATAAATGTGCTCTTTCTTATTTAACTCATAGGCAGGTTTTTTTTTTTTTTAAAGCTCTGTAACTTTTATTAATATTTCAAGTGCATAAACATTCAATCTTGGGCTGGACTTGCTCAAAAAGCAAATATTGTTTTTGTTCACTGATGTAAGAGTTAAATATGTTTGAATGAACACTGTGCCTCAACACAATGAAGACTAAATGGTGAATTAAACGGATAAATATTTTTACAAACCATCTTAAAGTTTACTTATATGCACCTAAGAAACATCTTAATGTTGTTTTTTATTCAATATTAAAATATTTCATGTTTAAATATACTTCATGATGACATGATACCACTCTTTTTGCCTCCATTGTTCTTGTATTAAAGTATATTCTTCACACACGTCCTTGTTGGTTATCAGCTTTTCTATGAGTCCACAATTAAATATTACAACTTGAACCAGATTTTCTGAAGGAGTGACATCAATGACAGCCATTACTTCCCTGACCTGACAACATACTGCAGCTAACTCAGGGACCCAGACATACATGACACAAGTACACGCCACAAGCTGCTCACCGGCAGAAGAGCAGGCGTTACAGAGTTACGTAAACAATGAGAGGTGAGCACTAATGTTAAAATGCACGGAGGCAGGCAGGTGATGAAGACTCTTATCTGTGACAAACACCTCTGAATTATTGCACTTGTTATTTTTAACAGGTCACCACTACAATACTCACTTTACACGAGTCAACATTTAACAGTCAACAACATAAATCAATTTTTATTCAGCTTCTGAGTCGACCATCGAAAGGATCCGGACTATAAAAGGACAGAATCAGGGATTTGAATCTAAAACATTTCATTTAATCTTACCTCTGTGAACTGTTTCAGAGTATCCAACATTTTTCAGTCAGGTCATCTGGACAGTTTCTTTTTTTTGTGCTGAAACGTTTCGCCTTCGGTCCAGAAGGCTTCATCAGTCAAGGAAACACACAATAAAACTGATTCTTACTCCAAAGTGGAACAAACCAGTTCTGCTTGTGATAAGATGGTCTCTTTGGTACGCCCCCTCCTCCATTGCCAGCCCTCTTCCTTGTTGGCAGGATTGTATACCTGGATTATTGAGCATGGACTTTGTTGTTTTCAACCAGTTTGACAAGACTGTAAGAAGTAAGAAGAAGTGTTTGCGACTAAGAATAGTTTATGCAGCTGAAGTGTCCAAAGAGCCCTTATACAGGTACAAGGACCCAATGCTTCTAACCCATTTGTCTGAAGAGATGTTCTCTGCTCTGCTGATACAAATCTGCTGTAGCTGTCAAATTATGAAGAAACATAAAAAAACAAAAAGAAGAGTCAGACAAGCCTGAAAATATAAAAATATCCATCTAAAATCAGAATCAGACTGCAGCATCAATGATTATTAATCCAAATCATAAAATTCACGTTTTTTAAATGAGTGTGTGTGTGTGTTTAAATCAGCAGTAGCAGACGTATCTGCAATCATCTAACTCTGTAGTTGATTTGTTGCTTTTCTGAAGTGTGTTCGGAGTTTGTGCATCGTTGTCGCTCTGTGTGGGAGTGAAGTCAGAGAGTGCACGTTACTGATGTCATCAGTGTCTTTCTGTTACTGTGGTCTCTTTGTGCCCGCTGTCCACTGTCTGTTTGTGTGTTTCTGTCATGATTCCAGCTTGATGGTTCCTAAATCCTGTCTGCTGCACTGACCAAACAAGGAGAGAAACAGGCAGTTTGTGTGTGGGAGAGACAAAAAGATAGATGGGAATGGAGAACGGGAAAACTTACATTAAGATGGAACATTTGAGGAAAAATTAACAGGACATGTATAAATGAAGAGTTTTATTTTTGACCCAATTTTAGTGTTGTAGTACCATCATTTGAAAATATTTTTTAACTACTGATTCAAAAGAAGAAAGATTGTTTAATTATAGTTCCTGTAAATATAAAAATTAATCACTGTGCAGTGTGTATGTACGGCGATACTAAGATAGTGTATTTTTTAAGGTTGATGTGATTTTGTTTTTCACAACAACTTCTAAATGATAACGTTCAGCTTTCACAGAACACACAGTTTTATTCTGTAAAATTAAAAATGCATTTCAATGGGTTTTCTCTGAAATCAGTAACTGTAAATAAAATAAAATAAAAACTAATCCTAAAAACGTTGATGCTTTTTGTCATTGTTGACATTCCTTGACAATAGATTATATCGTGGAGAAATGTGCGTTCACTTAATCTGATAGACATGTGATGTCATAAAAACATATTTTATTATTTCCAGACAAAATTGTGAATACATTCATGATAGATGGCTGTGATTACTTGTAACATTTTTCTGCATGCACAATGAATGCAGCTGAGCCCTGCATCAGGGTTGCCAGATAAATTTAAAATGTCTTATTTACCTCCTCCTTTTCTGTACACATGTTCAACAAACAACACCCACCTCATCTTTGAATATCTTTACTCAGCACATATGACAGTTTAGGTCAAAATACTATCAATCATCATTTCTTATCTGGCAACCCGATTATATGGAAACTGACATGGAAACTACAGTGTTTTTGTGTAAACCTGTTCATTTTTTGTTTATTAACCCCAATAAATATAGCAAAAACACTGGCATTTCCAGAGATTGTTCTTGTGTAAACGGGGCCTTATTGGTCATTTTAAAAGTAGCTCGCATGCTGAAAAAGTGTGGGCACCCTTGCTCTAGGTCAACGCGACTATACAGCTTATTCTGAAAACTGGTATTTTTACATCTTGGCGTTTTTTCTGGAGTCAACCAACCGTCAAGTCAAAGTCAAAATCAACAACTTTTAAACATGGTTTATGTCATTTGTAAAGGATTGACATCAGTTTTGTTCTATTTAAATTTAGCCGTGTTTTAGACTTTGGTGTAGCTGTAGGGTCCCTGTCCTGCTGCACACATTTCAACTGATTCAGTGAGGATTTAGTTCATGCTGAAGATTTCTGAAGTCATACATTTTCTTTATTTCATGCATTTTGTGCAGCACATCCAGCATACTTAAAGGCATTCTTTAAAACTTTGTTTAACCAGGGGAGACTCATTGAGATCTAAGATCATTTTTCTTACAAGAACGTCCCGGTGAAGTAATGCTCTAACTTTACTCCTTCCAACATACATGTAGCTGTAATGTGTCAAGAGTTGTGTTAGTTTAATTAAAAAACAAACGAACAAACAAACAAAAAACTTGCTTCTGTTGGATTTTTTTTTTTTTGTTCACATGCTTTAGCTGCAAACATAATGGTCACTTTTGGAGCTTTAGCTTCAATTCTCCATCTTTAAATCATACTTTAAACATACATTCTTCCTTTTGCTTGCTCTCATTTCGTTTGTTCCTTCAAACTCAATTAAAGGCAGCCGCCTCGCTGATATTCGTGCTCCATCACTAAGCTTTGCTGCTGTATTTGTGCACAACGACAAGTGTATCTAAAGTTTTTGTATCAAAAATATGATTAACTGTCAGTGCTGGCTGTAAACATTGGATGAATGTTTAATATTAGTATAAATTCTCAGGAAGGAAATCTAAAAGGAACACAAAATCCATATATGCTGTTTCTGAGAAGGGGAATATATATAGAGAGACAGTTGTCATGACAACCACAACAGGCAGGGGTGTGCAAAAGGTTACATCCAAAACCTGTCCAAAGATCCAAAAATACACAAGGAGAATACAAGTTAAAAAACAAACTGAAAAAGAATCTGAGCAGAAATACGAAGGAGAGGTTTTTATTAAAGAGATGAGTTTGACCGGATTGAACCCAGACGTCCAAAAACTAAACAAGCAGAGACAGAAAACTAACTGCAGCTCATAAAGATACAATATTTGAATTTAATCAGGAAGAGGAAAACAAAACTTTGATAATTAAAATAATGAAAGTGGTAATTTAGTCAACCAATTCATTCAAGACATTTTATCTGTTCTTTTTTGATAAATCCTATAGTTATACTTGTTATGCTGCCTTAAGCTTAGACTACTGGAGGACAAACTGACCTAATTTCCTTAAATGAATTGTTAAAATTGAACAGTTTTCATTTGATACTATTTTTATCTTAACATGTGATTCTTGACCTGCCATTGTGTATCTGTTCCTCTCAGACCCAACCGGTTGAAGCAGATGGCTTCTTGTCCTGAGCCTGGTTCTGCTAAAGGTTTCTTCCTCATGAGGGAGTTTTTTCTTTCCACTGTCGCCTTCATGCTTGCTCAAGATGAGAGTCTGTGATGGAGTTAATCTAAAAGCAGTCTGCTCCTCAGATAAATAATGTTAAATTATTACTTTTTCAATATATAAATGTTTCTGTTCAGTGCCCTGAAATGACTTCTGTTGTGACTTGGCGCTGTATAAATACATTTAATTGAACTGTTTCTTTAGTTCCTGTGTTTCATGTTTCTTTGGCAACTGCACATCTATCTTAACATTTATTCATCAAACTTTGACCGTCTGTGTTTTGTTAACGTTTCTTTTTCACGTTCACTTCCAGTTTTTAGAGAGCATGTCCCTTCGATGAGCCATATACGTAATATTCAGCTTTCTGAGTACATCTGCGGACAGAATATTTCAATTATGGCATAACTAAAGTGTCTCACAATTTATTTTCATTATAAAAGTTGTTTGTGACAAGTTGTTCCTGGTCAAAACAAATCAAATCTAAAGCACTGAATAAAATAAATCATTGTTCCCTGTTATTATAATTAAGAAGAATATATATATGTTGTTTGGTTTAATTTTATTCAGTACCTAATAATTATTATGCTTTTTGATTCCCAAAGTATAAACTTTAGCCAGCTGCTTTAATATTTTTTAATTTGTTTAACTTCACCTCTGACCTTTTTTCTTTCTTGCATATTTTTCTCTCTCTCTCTGCAGGAAACGGTAGAATATGCCTTCCTGATCATTTTTACAATAGAAACATTTCTGAAGATTATTGCCTATGGCCTGGTCATGCACCAAAACTCCTACGTCAGAAATGGGTGGAACATGTTGGACTTCGTCATCGTCATAGTGGGGTAAATCCAAGATAAAAAAAAATGTTTTCAGATTAAATGATCTGTACCATATTTGTCGGACTATAAGGCACACTTAAAATCCTTTAATTTTCTCAAAAATCAACTTATAATCAGGCGCACCTTATGTATTAATGGTTGCACTTACTGACCTCGAACTGATTTTATGTGGTTTTTGTGAATAAGTTGAATAAAGTTTGACTTATTTGACAGATTTGTTTTGCTTAATGCGCCTTATAATCTGAAAAATACGGTAATCCATTTCTTCATTATCACTTTTTACACCTATGATGTTATTGTCAGAGCATCTTTACTCAGGACTGAGATTAACAAAGTTTAAATCAGTCTTACTTTAATAAAAAGATCGATTGTTTATCATGCTCAGGCCAGATGGCAGTGATGTCTGTGCACATGTACAAACACAGTGTCCACACACACACGTGTATAAAGTGACAGTTTATCTGTGGTACACCTGGTCCCTGCAGGACTTCAATGTAAACTGAGATGAGACGTGAAACACTAAAGGTAAATATATACAGTATTGACAGAGGATACATACAGTAAACTATTCATAATCACACTGACTCTCTCCCACAGGTGGGGGCTCACAGAACCAAGTACAAAGAAGACTCTTTGTTTTGTTCTGAGCTCTTTTTGACTTATTTGCTTTAATGTTTTTGCTGTGTTTTTTGGACAAACCCGTCACTGTTCTCATTTTTGCTTTTTCCTTTCCTTTGCCTGTCGTTTTGTGCCAATATATAAGCATTGAGGCAGCTGAACGCTTGCAGTTTTTACTCAATCACAGTTTAAGTTTCATGGTTTTTACAGATTTTTCCACCTAACTGACAATTAATGATGTGATGGACTAATTATTGAACTGTTTAAATGTTTCTAATGTTTTGCAAATGTACTATTTTTACTCCCACAATTCTTTTTGGTACATGCACAAGTTACATGTCAAATTATATACAGTAGTCCCTCGCTACTTCACGGTTCGTTTTTTGCGGACTCGCTCTATCATGGTTTTTCAAAATATGATTGGACATGACACACAATTGGCTGACTGATAGATGAGCCGCACAATTGGCATTAAATGTTTATTTAAAATAAATTTAGCACCTGCTGCACCTTTCTGCAGCCCACACTGCAGGATAAGCTTCCTGCTGCAGCTGATCAGCTGTTTGCCGTGAAGAGCTGAGAAGTGGGCGTGGCCGAGAGCGCTTGCAGGTGGCTGAGAGCAGCGGAGGCAGAGAGCTGAAATCATGACTTTCTGTGCTTTTTTAGAGCATTTAGAGTTTAACATTTAGAATGTTGCAATAGTGTGTGAAGTGTTTAAAACACCTTAATATAGGCCTATAATAAACTACTTACTGCTTGTACTACTATACTTACTTTGTGGTTTTTCACTTATCGTGGGGCTTCAGGGTACGGATCCCCTGCAATAAATGAGGGATTACTCTACTGTACATATCTCTTCTCTAACCCAGTCTCTAACAGTGTGTTTACTGATTTAGGACTTAAGGTTTTCTCTCTAATTTACCCAGAATGCAAAGTACTCACCCAATCTTCCATAGCATCCAGCTACATTTGTGCTCACAATATTCTCTTCAAAACTGGAAGTGAACACGTGCCATATTGTGTCAAGGGCCGGTTTTTGGTTTCTTAATAAGCCAGACACAGGAGTGCAAAAACAAGAACAGTTTTTATTAATTGGTCTACTGGTTGCTGGAGTCAGGGTCCAAGGCAGGAGTCCAATCTTAAAAGACAGAGAGGTTAGTGACTTTGCTGAGGACGAGGGGATCCTGTGATTATAGTAAAAGTCACTAACCTTCTCAGTCTGTACATGGCAGGTGAAATCCAGAGGCGTGGTCCGATGGTCATAGCAGGGGTCAAGCACGTTGAAGCAGAGAAGCAAGAACAGGGCTGAGTCGTGATCCACAAGAGTAGTCAAGGGAGAACAAGAGTCGTTACTGTGGTCAGATATGCAGACAAATCCAGAAAGGGGCAAGGCAAGGACACAAAGCTATGGAACAAGATACTATGATTAAAGGCTTCACTATCAGGAACCATGAGTGGTGTAATAATTTGGCACTGGTGGAGCGTGAGAATGGAGCTTATAAAGGGTGCAGAGCAGGTGAACTAGTAGAGCTGAACAGGTGAGTGGAATCAGGGCTGATTGCTGTGGTAAACAGGGGAGGCGTGGCATGGCTTGGAAGGAGTGGGCTTGAGCTGGAGATGGGTGACAGGCATTACAAAACTATGGCATGAGGGGCTAAAACGATACCAGGAGGGAGTGAGTGTGAGACAGGGGCCGATGGGGGGTCAACGGGGGCCGCTGACAATGACATGTATATTATATATAAACCACTGAAGGCACTTAAAATTAATTTGTGATTATCAGAGGCTTCCATTGCTCACGGTTCAACTTTGTTTTTTTTTTTACATGATTCAACTTATACTTGTTACAACATGACTGTTTGTTTGAGGCTTGTTTCCTGTCTGAGTTTCTGTCTGCCTCTCATTAACTTGGCAGCCAGAGAGTGACAGACACATGTGTAGTTACCATGGTGACCATAAAAAGCCACTGGCAGCAGCTTTGACATTTATTATGATCTTGGTTCTCTTTACACCTCTTGTACAATTCATGTAGTTTTTTTTTTCCCTTTAGATTTTTACAAAGTTGAGTTGGATTTTTGGTGCGCTGGCACCCATCAACATTTCTTAAGAATATTTTTGTTTTGTAGGCTCATTTTCTTGTCTCTTATTTCCAGGCTGTTTAGTGTGGTTCTGGAGATGATAACCAAAGATGCTGACTCTGGGGGCCAGTCGGGAGGCAAACCGGGAGGATTTGACGTAAAGGCCCTCAGAGCCTTTCGCGTCCTGCGGCCCCTTCGCCTTGTTTCTGGAGTTCCCAGTGAGTTGATGCAGAAAATCTCCCTGCAATCTAAAGCTAATTTTAAAGTGGGGGACACCCTGGACAGGTCTCCAATCCATCACAGGGACACAGAGACAAATGAGACAAACGACCATTCACTCTCTCACTCACACCCAGAGACAATTTAGAGTTACCAATCAGCCTAACATGCATGTTTTTGGTCTGTGGGAGGAAACCGGAGTACCCAGAGAAAACCCACACATGCACGGAGAGAACATGCAAACTCCACCCAGAAAGGTCCCGGGCTGGGCTTCAATCCGACAACCTTTTTGCTGAGAGGCAACAGCGCTCAGCCACCGTGCCACCTGAACTAACAACAAAAGCAAAATAAATGACCAATCATGCTTTTCTTTTTACACCTCTTTAATTACAAACTGGAAGAACAAATGGTCTGTAAACCAATTATCGGTACATGCCTGTCCATGGACAGGAAACACAAAAACTGAAGGCTTAGTGGGGACAAAACATTAATTTGTAGAAGAAATTGAGCTCCAGCCATTTTTAATTTTATGGAAATTATAAAATTACCGTTATGTTGGCCAGAGTTCAGAAGAGATGTTGATTCTCCAGTGGTTCCCCGAGGAACACCATCCTGCCTGGTTTAGTGGCTTCTCTGCTCCAAAACACCTGATTTGAATGAACGGGTGATTAACAGGCTCCTGCAGAACTTGGGGAAATAATTAAATCACTGAATTAGGTGTGTTAAAGCAGAGAAACAACTAAAATATGCAGGATGGTGTTCCTCAGGGACCAGGGTTGGGAACCACTGGATCCTTTGGAACCTACCAAACACAGCAACAAATGTGTCTTATGTGTCCTCTATCCCATTTGTTGACCTCACTTCTCAAATATTTGTGAAGCAATGTTACGTTCAAGTAGTGTTCAAAATGAGGCAACCCTCGTCCCTTCTCTATTCAGTGAACATTTACTGGTCAGTCAGAACCTAACCCAGTCTAGGCTTACAGCTCCATGGGTCTTTGTTGCTTTTAATAACAATATTTTCACTTTTGACTAAATCAGAGTCAGTTCTTTCCCCCTCCATTATATTTTCTCCATCCCTGCATTTATTTGGTAATGTTGAGTTCTTTAAAAATGTAAACAATCATAAATATTTCATTCAGGAAGCATCTGTACACTTCCACTGTTCACCGAGGAGATGGAGCTCTCTTCTCTGTTTCTGTTTCCTCTGAACGTTTGACCTCGCAGATACACAGGCCCTAATGTGTGTGCATTATTTGTGTTGCCATGGTGACGCATCATTTGTCACTCTCAGTCAGGGAAGATGAAGTTCTACTGAAAATGCCTTTTCACATTTATTTTGTGGGTTAGTTAGAGCAGTTAAATTAAGAGGGCAGTTTCTGAGCTTCTGTTCAGTTGTATTATGAGGTGTTTGGGTCCTTAAAGCCACCATGACAACTGATAGATCTGTGTGTTTTATGTGTGTACAGCTGTGTAGAGTTGTTTAAATGCTATCTGCCAATTAGATAATTATAAGTACATCCAGTAGCAGGCTTGTAATGTCATTAGAACTCAACAATAGTTTTTGGAATTAATTGAATGCCATGTTAGTTCTTTAATTATTATCATAACTAGGAGCTTAAATTTCCTTTGACCCTGACTTCTGTGTATGTTCACAGGTTTACAGGTGGTTTTAAATTCTATTATTAAAGCCATGGTTCCCCTGCTTCACATTGCCCTGCTGGTCCTTTTTGTAATTATTATCTACGCCATCATCGGCCTCGAGCTCTTCATCGGAAAGATGCACGCCACATGCTATGTAGTAAAAACAGGTAAAGCAGAGTTGCACTTTATTTTTTATTTACTTGATTTTGTGTCTGATCCCCCCAGTTTTAATTTAAACTTTTTCAAATAATTACTCACAGCAAACAGTCTAAATGGGCATCCTCTAAGATTAGCATAGAAACATGTTTTAATTCTTGGGAATGAATGAAATATCCACCTGGTTTGTGAATGATGAAGAGCTGCTGAAAACAAGACAGAACAGATGGTGGAATAAATCCGCTGATTAAATAACTAATATCTGACTGTTATGTAAATGTACTTGCCCTTTCCTCTAGTATTGCTTTCAAAATGGCAGAAGTGTTAGAGAAATAAGTAAAAAAAAAACAATAGTTGTAATATATTCAGAATATTATCGTATTTTTTAGACTATAAGGCGCACTTAAAAATAATTTAATTTTCACAACTATCGACAGTGAGCTTTATAATCCGGTGCGCATTATTGTAGTGAACTAAGCCTCTGGTCAAAAACCTGACCCTGAGGGCTTTCCTGGAACAGGAACTGTTATTTCATTGATTTGAGTCCAGAAACACAAATTAAGCTCATCCAGAGACTTTCTGAGGGTGTCCTGCACTGGTCAATTGAAAGAACACTCTCTTTTCATTATCATTACTATTTTACAATATCTTGATAATCAAAGTGTGTTTAGTTCAAATAATTTTTAAATGTTGAAGTGAACTACTCACTTTAAATCAACTGTGAAACAGTATTAATGATTTTTAATCCTCATTCAAAGTAGAAATCAAGTTAATGTCTGTTACAAGAGTAATTATGCATTTTTTTGATCTTCTGTCTGAAATGAGCAAGTTGTGATATCGGTCAAAAGTGAAGGAACGGTCAAAAACATGTTTATCGGAACGAAATGTCATGTTTATCTCTATCAGACAGATAGAAGGAAGACTGGCTCCTAAATGTCTCTGTTCTTCAAAACATCTTTCTGTCTGTTCTTAAACATCTACGCTTTCTCCTTGACATGTAATGACCCTCTGACGTCACTAAAACCACACCCCGGTTGGTTCGTTCAACCAATCAGGAAGTTCCCAGAAGGTACCGGAAGTGACCTCTTTAAAAGGGTCAACACTTCCTAGTTCCAAGCAGAACAAGTTCCAGAGCAGAACAAGAGTTCCAAGAAGAACAACGTTCCAGACATGAACCAAAGTTCTGAGAGCAGAACCGAACGAAAGTTCTGAAGTGCTGGAGTTAGTTGGGAGTTCTTTCGAGTCTCGTGGGGATTATGGAATCTTCCACATCTGAGTGGAACTCTGACGGGCTCACAGCTCATGTGAGTCCACCTGGGAGGTGAGCGTGCTGTTGAACGAAGTACTCTCACGACTCCTGAGGTCACAGCTGTTCTTACGGAGACGCTGAAAAGAGTTGAAAGAAAACTCTACACCGGAGCCGAAACTATCGTCTGCAAAGGTAAAGAGTCGATCTTCACTTGCGAGTGTACCGTGGGTTAAGCTGCGTCCAAAGGAGCGTGTTGTTTCTGGTTATAACAGACACATTCCCTCACCCATCTCTCTCCATTTAAACTTAATTTTCCCATCTTTAAAACTCTTCTATCTGTCAGTAATTAATCCAGATATTTTCAGAAATGTCTGTTGTATTTCAGTCGCAATTAAGAAATCATGGCCGTATGATTTCTCATTGTAAAGCTCATTAATTAAGCTGTGTTAATTGTAATCAATCTGCCAATTAATCTAAATGTGTGATGTGTTTTAAATCGTTTTTAATTAAACGGCTCACTGTTGTTGGTGAGTCAGAAATTTAAACACGTTTCCGTCCACATTTAATCATTCAAGGCACGAGAGTACTCAGTCCAGAAAAATGAAAGAATCCGTTTAAATTATGGATAATATCAGACAGGTATCATTCATTACATTATGTATTAATTCTGGTTGTGCTTACTGATCTCAAACTGATTTTATGTGGTGTACGGAGGTCAAAAATCCGTCCAAATGAACTTGTTTTGCTTAATGCGCCTTATAATCCAGTGCGCCTTATAATCCGACAAATAAGGTACACACTCTGAAAATAGTAACAAACTTAGATGTGGTTTCTCTTGCACTTTTATTTCTCTCTAATGCACAACTTTCACCCAACTCTTCTCCCTGCTGTCTTTTCTTTCTCATGCTGATCTGTTTTGATGTGTTTGCATGATGATGTAAAAAATAATAATACAGCTTTAAGTCAAGACAGAGCAAGGCTGATGCTCCTTTCATTCAAAGAGGTGCTCACTGCTAGAAAAAAGTGAACAAAATTGAACAAAGGAACGTGCAAATTTGTATTAAAAACTACAGAGTTTAAGAATAAACAGAACAACAACAAAGAGGCTAATCTGATAAAAAATACACTGTTTTTGAAGTTAGATCAGAAATTCGATGAGGAACTTTTTTTTTCTACACTGCTGCATTTTTAATAATCAAATACATGAGTGAACATGTAAATGTTTAGCATAACAACACACACTTTATAAACAGTTACATGTACAGTAGTCCCTCGCTACTTCGCAGTTGATTTATTGTGGACTCGCTCTTTTGCCGTTTTTCAAAATAAGATCGGACACGACACATAACTGGCTGACTGATGAATGAGCCGCATGATCGGCATGGAATTTTTATTTAAAATGAAATATTTAGCACTTGATGCACATTTGTGCAGTGCAGAGCTGCAGACAAAGTGTCCTGCATCTTTGTGCAGCCCACACTTGATAAACTTCCTGCTGCAGCTGATCAGCTACTCTGCATGCAGAGTTGAGAAGTGGGCGTGGCCAAGAGCGCTTGCAGGTGGCAAAGAGCAGAGAAGGCAGGGAGCTGAAATCATGACATTCTGTGGTCTTTGAGAGCTTTAGAGTTTTTAAACATTGTTTAAAATATTGCAAGAGTGTGGGAAAGGCTTAAAACGCTTTTATATATATATATATATATATATATAATAAAATAAACTACTACTTACTACTTGTACTACTATTCCTACTTCACGGTTTTTCACTTATCGTGGGTCTTCAGGATACGAATCCCCCGCGATAAACGAGGGACTACTGTATGTAGAATATGAAATAGGATGTATTTATATGGTATTTTATTGGGTAACAATGGTAATTATGCATTTGGTCTGATGTTCTTATGGGTGTTTACTCAAATTCACACTGCACCTCCCCACCCCCCATCTGATACATCTATGGTTACAAGACAACCAATATGTAAGCAAAAAAAAAACAACAACAAAAAGTGAAATAAAACCCCATTTCTTACAATCTAGACTTTATTACAGACAGTGAATGAAAAGTGTCAGTAAAGTCTAAGATTGTTACAAACGCCATTATTTCAACACATTTGTTTACTTGTCCAAACTTTCCCCTCCGGCTGTTGAGATTTACATGTTTCTGCTGTTTCTTTGTTTTTTGACTCAGGTAGCTAATCTTATTAAATCATATTCATCAGTTTGTTTCTTCCTCTCCATCATCTCCAGGTGCCCTTGCAGAAGAAGAGTCCTCTCCTTGTGCAGTGTCAGGGCACGGCCGCCGCTGCCTCCTCAACGGCACCGTTTGCAGGGAAGGCTGGCAAGGCCCCAACAATGGCATCACCAACTTTGACAATTTCCTGTTTGCCATGCTCACCGTGTTCCAGTGTATCACCATGGAGGGCTGGACTGACGTGCTCTACTGGGTAATCTGTCAATCTAAAGCACACTTGCTCTTATGAAGCCTAACGGGGGCACCACGTTTAGTTTTTTACACAGATAAATAAAAAATATTGAGAAAGTTGAAAATTTAAAAACTAGGAAACATCAGGGATTGAATGCCATGTAACATTTTATCATTTATCTTTAGAAATAAATTTTACATTTTCACATATTCAAGACCACACAGCATTTCCTCAACCTTTGATCTTATTTAAGTTTAATAGTTATATTTATTTGGCAGGATGATGGCGATTTCCATGACAGTAAACTACATTTCAACAAGGCAAAGCAGTTATTACAGATGTTTTATATTTCAGAGGTTAAAGGCGAGTCTGTAATCGAAATGTTGCCAGTTTGACTCCCCGGACTGACAACATCAAAATGTGGGTGGAAAGGTGAAGCACCCACACCTGCCTTCACCTTCATTTGCCCCACTCTGGGCCCTTTAGCAAAGCCCTTAACCCCCACCATCTGCTCCCCTTGGCGCCCTAGAAGGCATCTCTCTGCTCCACACAGAGGGCTGTGGTAGCTCGGTGTCTGTGGTTGCTTCAGGGAGGGCATCCGGCATAAAAACAAATACCAAGGCTTCATGCGAGTTAGTTCACTGTGGAGACCCAAGAGGAAGGGAACAGCCGAAAGAAGAAGAAGAAAAATAATAATCACCATAATGATGTCCAATTATTCTCGTCAAGATCTTTAGGAAATTCTATGTAATTTGACAATCTGTGAATGTCGTACTCTATTTATAGTTTGTTTAAAAACTTTCCCTGAAAGCTGTAGTCTGAACTATCAATGTTTTTTTGTTTTTTTTTACTTAACAGGCATTTTAAATCTAACAAGCCAGTCTCATTAAAAAACGGTCAGTTTCTCATTAGCAAGTACATAAATAAATAAATAAATAAATCAGCAGCAGCTTTTAATTAGTTGAAACTCTCGGCATTGAGAATGGGTTTTAGCGCAGTCCATCCACCTCTTTTATAGACGAAGACCCGAATGAACCGCTCCCCCTCCTTCAATTCTATACTCTGTCATTTTTTTATACTTTCTTTTTTCAGACTTTTTCTTCATTATTAAATCAATTTTTATGTTAGCAGTATTAGCACTAGCATCAGTAGAATTAGCATTAGCAGCAGTAGTCTATAGCAGTAGTCATCGCTTTATAATGTAGCGGTTTTCGTTTTGTTTTTATATAATTTCTTCTATTTACTTTTCATTTTATATGCTTGTATATGATTGTCTGTTGTTATTTGTACCTCATCTGACCTGTAAGCTTTCCAACTAAAATCAGGATTAACAGTTCAGGCAGGGCGTGTTGCTGAGGGCTGCCCTTCAGCTGCAGGTACAGGTTGTTATATGTGAAAAGAATAGTGTAAAAAACTAATTAATTATAAATTCACAAACTTCAGCGTTTCATTTTTTGAAGACACTTTTAAAACATGTATTTCATTTATGTATTTTGCCACCAACGTATTACTTACACGATTGTCATTCTCAGGGTTTCCTCCTGTTGTTTAAATTTTTGCTCCAGTTTTTATTTCACTTTATAGTTTAATGTCTCATATAGTCTTTAATCAGTGGTGTAGTCTACAGTTTTGTAGTGGGTATACTGTGGTAAAGTTAGTTTTACGTTGGACGATGGACACCGTTGAAGCACGAATGTCCAAAGACCAACGTAAAACTAACTGTGCCACGTTCAGTTTGCATACTGTGCTTAGAAACCAAAGTACACCGGTTAGTACAATGTAACTGTCAATTTATTTTTATTTTAAAGCATATTGAACATTTTCAAATTTCTCTGATATATACATTTCAATAAACGAACAACACACTTTGTACAACAGTTGGCTTTGTATTAAAAACATGTTATAGAATTTATAAAACAGTATCAAACCAAAACATGTTCAAGTATTAAGGAGTAAGTGCAGAAGTATTAATTATACAATAATTCGCTGGATAAGCGAATGTAAAAAACAAGCCTGCATACAGATAGATTGTTATGGAAGCTTTTAACTGCTGTTTAACATATCAATGACACGTGCCTAATGATATGTCATGTATCATTGGGCACTTTTAAGTGGGTATACTGAAATTCTTAAGCTTTTCTAGTGGGTGCACTCCATATACCCGCATATCACATAGACTACACCGCTGCTTTAATTCATCAATAAGCTAAAGTATGCATGTAATCAGTACACAACGTATAAAAAAAAACAAAATTCAAACTGCCACTTTGTATCTATATCTTTATAGACAAATTTTGTCATGAGCATGAGAGAGAAAAAGTCAAGATATATAAAAATAAACAAACAAACAAACCGAAGAACAGGCAACAAATTTTTTTATATAAAGCAGTGTAGGGCTTTACCTTATTGTACCAAGATTACACAGAGCAAAACATGCTTTGATTAAAAATAAATAAATAAAACAAACAATACATTAAATACTCTAAATATAACTTGACTTTATGGAAAATCATCTGATAGAACTGACTCCCACAAAGAGCTGCTGCTGCATGGACCTCAACCCTCCTGCTGCCTTTGACTCGTGAGACCTCACTTTTAAAACTGAGACGTCAGGAGTCATTTTAAGGGGTTAAGATGAAGATGCAAACCATTAAACAACTGGTTGACTTGGCCTTCAATGAAGTAAAGCTATTTCTAGTGATGTGGGTGCACATCATGGTAGATAGGTAAAATGAAGTGTTTAAAAGCTGAATTACTGTGGGCCTCTCTGAACCTCGGGGTCCAGAGCTTTTGTCCTGGTAAGCCTTTTGAAAAGTCTGACCTTGGGTCCATACAGGATATGGACCTATGGATCCATTTAGTCTCACTGTATTTTTTTTTTACTGGACTGATACTCTTTGGTCAAATGTCATAATACTGCTTCACCACTAAATAAACCTGCTTTCTTTTTTTTGCTTTGTTTTCTGAATTAGATGAACGATGCAATGGGCTTTGAGCTGCCATGGGTCTATTTTGTCAGTCTGGTCATCTTTGGATCCTTCTTTGTTCTGAACTTAGTTTTGGGAGTGTTGAGTGGGTGAGTTTGATCATTCTCATTATCTTGAGCATCACAGGGTTATAGTTGCTTCTTGCTGCAGTAACCTTATCCCTGGCTGGCTCTCATGTTCCACAATGTTTCGAAGAACTTTCAATATACTGGAAAACTAAAAATACCGTAGCTATCCTGTATGCCTCTCTTTCTTCAGAGAGTTTTCCAAAGAGCGAGAAAAAGCCAAGGCTCGAGGTGATTTCCAGAAGCTGCGCGAGAAGCAGCAGTTAGAAGAAGATCTGAAGGGCTACCTGGACTGGATCACACAAGCTGAGGACATCGACCCTGAGAACGAGGAGGAGGCAGATGAGGAGGGCAAGCGTAACCGTGAGTTTCTGAGTCCTATTGACTTTCTCATTTATTCATGTTTAAACCAAGTCATGCGCAATGGTGTAGGACATAAACCAAAAAATATTTCCACACACAGTTTATCCTCACAGATCTAATAATTCTTGCAAAAAGCCAATCTTGGTATTGTTAAACTGAGACTACAAGTGGACATGTACACCCAAACTATACTTATAATTCCACACAGTGCTGCACAACCTTAGCAAAACAAACAAAAAAAAAAATTGGTTGTGATTATTCTTCAATTTTATAATATGAGCTACAAAAAATCCACTCTTCTATGTTGCCTCAGTACGAGACTCACATCACTGTGTGCAACATTTTATCACTGTCGTCCAGATCTGTGGGGCGTTTATGGCAGCTGAGGTCCATCTGACTCCCGAGTATAATATAAAAAAAATAAAAAATTAAGACACCCCTCTCCCTAAGTCTGTTTTTTTTTCTTCTTCTTAGTTTTTAGAAGTTGCTTCACACTTGAGTTTTGTGCATGATTTCCAACCCTGAGCACCTCCAGAACACACATGATTATTTGGTGTTCATATTACAGACATGGACTTAAAACCAAACACTTTGACATCCTTGAAATACCCTAAGATACTAAGAGTAGTAGTAGTAGTAGTAGTTCCTAAAGTGTTAAAATACCAAGTTTTTTTAACACTTTAGAAACTAAAGCTTTCTCCAAAGAGAGTTTGGTTGTTGAAAAGGTTTCACTAAAAGTTTATAATTTACCTTCTATTTTAACTGTTTACTAGTTTCCTATGTGTCAACTGTTTCCTTGAAACACTTTCTTATGAGACATTATGTGCATCTATTAACAACGTAACTCGCAACACCAGCCTTCATGGAAAGATAAGCTCCTGCATGGCATGTACCACAGGTAGACTGAGAAAGTAGCTGATATCAACAAATTCCACCAATTGCTAGAAAGGGCTGGACAGAAGGACATCACAGAGGCAATGGCAGCACAAGAACAGGCTCTTAGCATAAGATCAATACAGGCTAGGGTTTAACATACCAGACAAGACTCAAGATGCAGGCTGTGCAAAGATGCTCCGGAGACAGTCAACACATAATAACAGGATGTAAGATCCAAACAAGCAATGCATACATGGAACACCATAACCAAGTGGCTGGAATAATACACAGGGAATAATACACTGTGCTGAATGTGGACTGGAGGTCCAGCAGTCAAAGTGGGAGACTCCACCAAGGGTGGTGGAGAATGGAAGGGCTAAGATATGGGATTTCCAGATCCAGACCAATAAACAAATGAAGGCTAACCAACCAGACATTGTGATGGTCGACAAGCAAGAGAAGAAGGCATTGGTGAAAGATGTAGCAATTCCAAGTGCCTGTAACATCAGAAAGAAGGAGCACGAGAAGCTGGAGAAGTACCAAAGGCTGAAAGAGGAAATACAGAAGTTATGGAGAGTCAAAGTGTCAGTCATCCCAGTGGTCATTGGAGCGCTTGGTGCTGTGACCTGAAAATGATAGAGTGGCTGCAACAGATCCCAGGAACAACCTCAGAGATCTCTGTCCAGAAGAGAGCATTCCTAGGAACGGCTAAGATACTGAACAGATCCCTCAAACTCCCAGGTCTCTGGTAGAGGACCCGACTTTGAAGTGAACTGCAACCGTCCAAGTGGAAGAGTAGGTCAAGCTACAAGTTTTTTTTTATTTTTTTATATTCAAATGGATCAAATTTCACACACTTTAAAACACCCTCTGTCATCATGAGCACCATAGAATAAAAAGACAAATGAGTCATAATTCCTGCTCTTTAAAAGACCATATGGCCTCATAAATGTCATTAAATATGTTTTTAGACATTTACTGAGTGTCACCTCTGTGTGAACAGCACACCTAGCTAAAAATCTACATGTGATATGAATGTTTGATTTTTATTTTATTTTGTATTTTCACATTCAATTATGTGTTGCTTTTAATTTAGGCAAAACAATGTATTTAAATTAATTGAAACATTTTTTTTTTTAACTGGTTCTTTAACAAAAAGTAGACATGTCCTGATGCATGCTCAGTAATCCAGGTAAATCTAACAAGGTTAATTTAGATCCTCTGGATAGAAGAATCCTTCCAGAGGACTCGCCTTAACCTTGTTAGGAAAAAGTAGAAACTTTTCAGCTTTGGAGTTTTTTTGTCACCGCTTCTGAAAAGATTATTGCCTGTTTAAAAAAATGTAAAATGAAAATAGCATTTGGCATTAGTTTTGTTTTGTTTTTTTCCATTTGTTCTGAATCATGGATCTTGCACACCGTTACACCCCTATATTGCATTGTATAGTTATCATGTCCAGAATTTGTTGAATTAGGAGATGCAGAATCACAAAATGCAATTTGACAAAAAATCAGCCAGTCTGTAATATATTTGTTGGCTATACTAATATTGATTATCACAGTATCATGCGGTTATTATTAACCAGTGTTAGTATTTGATATTATTATTTTCATTTCACATACTTTTTAATTAAATGTCTCTTTGTATGTAAACGACTAGAAATATGTTAAATGAACCTGAACATGATGTCAACATGATATTTCAGTGTTACAGTAATATTTACATTGTAAAATGTTTGTACAGTTTGTTTTTTCTGGACATAGTATCTGCATCAGTAATTTGTATTGCAGCTTGCCATACATTCCTCTCTTTCTTGTTCTGCTGTGTACTGACTCACTGCTGCCTCTGCTGTCTGGCTGTGTGAACTGCATGTTGGTAACACCAAGGGGTCACGTTGGCTGACCTCACTCAGAAGAAGAAAGGAAAGTTTGGCTGGTTCTCTCAGTCCACAGAGACACAGGGTAAATGTGTTTGTGTGTGGGAGAAATTTTGTTGAAGTGTCCATTTCATTCTTTGCATTTCCTCCCTCCATACATCTTCATGAGGACATTTCATCTTTATCCTTTTTTCCCCCATTGAACCTTTATTTATACAGGTTAGTCTCATTGAGCCTCAAGGACTCATTTACAAGAGAAACCTGCTTTAAACAAAGAACACAGATGAGGTACAGACTATAATAGACAATCATATAAAAGCATATAAAATGAAAAGTAAATAAAAGAAATTATATAAAAATGAAACAAAAACAGTTACAATATGAAGCAATGTAAAATAGTAAAAACAGCAACATGTCTGCATTGGTTTTTGCCATGAACTTAACAGTCGTTTAAAATCCCTTAGAGTGGTCAAAGTCGACAACTTCAGATCTTTTTGCAAGGTGTTCCAGAAGTGGAGTAAGAGAAGGCCCTTTTGCCAAGTTTGGTTTATACTGAGGGGACACTGCAGGTAATTATGTCTTGAAAGTGCACACTGTAGCTGCACTGATGAAGTGACATGTAGGAGGAGATGTATGAAGGCAGCAGACCAAGGAGTGATTTAAAGATGAAAATGTACCAGTGAGAGAGTCTGCGTGAAGTTAATGATGACCAGTTGACCAATGAATACAGAGTGCAGTGATGGATACAATAGTTACAACCAGTTATGAATCTTAGCGCATCGTGATGGACAGCGTCCAACATCTTCAAGGTGCTTGCAGGAGGATACATGTAAATAATGTCACCGTAGTCGATGGCTGGGAGGAAAGTAGCGGTTACAAGTACAGTTCCGACTTTCCGTTTGAAAACAACATCCCTTTGGTTTTATCAGCATTTAGCACCAATTTGAGATGGAACAAATCTGACTGGATGATGTTGAATGCAGACTGTAAAAGTTGGAAAACCTTAGCAACTGTTCTAGCTCAACAATAAACAACTGTGTCGTCGGCATAGGAATATGAGGATACTTACAGAATGTTCTGATCTACATTACTTATGTAGATTGTGAAGAGGGTGGGTCCTAAGACTGGGCCTTGTGGTACACCATTGTTGACAGTTAGATAGCTGGAAGAAGTACCATTATGTTGAACACATTGCCTCCGATCTGAGAGGTAATTAGAGAACCAACCAATAGTGTGGTCTGAGAAACCAATTTCAGAGAACTTATGACATAAGATGTCATGGTCCACAGTGTCAAAAGCTTTGTCCTGAGCCCTGTCTGTGCGTCAATGTGCTTCGCTTGCTGTTTGCTTTTGAGTGTACTTTGGTATTCTCATGCCTTTTCTTTTTGGCATTATTGTGTTTGGTTTAAACAGTCTTCATCACAACCAGGTTAACGTAAGCTGTCACATAAAACATCATTCTGAAATGATGTTACGTTGCTCTCCCAGCATTTGAAGCCCAACTGTTGGTGAAATAAAGAAAAAAGTATTTTAACTGGTCAAAATGGAGGTGAATGACATAATGAAGCACCTCCAGAGCAAGATTTTTCTTTGAGGAAGAGCCAACTAATTGGAAGACAATGTTTTTAAGTGAAGAACTTTCAGTCTTATGATAAGGGTAGTACTCTGGTTAACATTAAGACAACACTAGTCAGCTTATCTGTAAATGAACAACTTAAAGCCACACATAAACAGAATCATAGGTCCGGAGTTAGAGAACCTTTTAAATGTGATCCAGTCTTAAGGAAATCTTGAACATTTGTGAGTTTTGGATTCTCCTGTTTTTCAGTGTCTCAAAATATATATTTTTGTATTATTGTTTGGCTGCAAAATGTCCTTATATTTTACACAGTTTGTGTTAGCACAAACCTAAATATATTTCCTTTAATAAGCCTTAAGTTATACAAAGATGTAATTTAAGTGTCTTAGTTTTCAGTTGTTACCATGACTGCATAACGTGTTTTTGGATCAGAAGTAAACGCAACTTCCACAGCTGTGTTCGTCTTCAGATCCTTTATTGTATCATTGTCACGTTAATTCCCTCTCATTCATCATTTTTAATGACAATATTTTCTGCATGTATAAAATATACTGTATGATTTCCAGGGTGACTCTGACCACGTAGACAATAGTTTTTTGTTTACATGGAAATGATTTGGATGTAGTTAATATAAGTTTGGGAAATGAACTAAAGATTTAGTTTTTCAACTTTCGCTGGTACATCTTCAAGTACATGTTTTTCTGAGTCACAAACTGTATGTAATTATTTTCCTAATAATAACCTCTTTAACATGAGAAAAGATTAGAAAATAGAAAAGATTGCCAAATAAAATAGTTGGTTTCAAGTGAAATGTTCTAACAATTGTTGGTCAGCCCAAACAGGGATAGTCTTTTTTTGAAGGCTAGAATAGTTCATATTTAGTCCATGCAATTTAGCTTGATTTGGCCTTTTAGCCACACAAAAAGGAAACAATGTAATATTTTATACTTACAAATAGTTTGATGTGTGTTTAAACTCCATTAAACCTTTAATTCATTAAATTTAAGACATACTGATAGTCTATTATTTAATTGTTTTTTTGTAAAGAAGTTCATTTTTCACGTTCCTTGTAAGCTAAAACAAGAAAATGCAATGAATGCTAAAAGGAAAATTAGTTAAATGTGTTTTAGGACACACACAACTTATATTGCATGTGTTTCTGTGTGTGTGATACTGCAGCGAGCATGCCTACGAGTGAAACAGAATCAGTCAACACAGAAAATCCCAACGGAGAGGACGACAAATCACCGTGCTGCGGGCCGCTGTGGTGAGTTGGACGTTTTACAACCAACAATCAGAAATCAGTTCTTCTGCAGCACCAAACAGAAAACCATTCAACACAAAGTTCTACCATCCACTCTAATGCAGGTTTCAAAATTGCACAAGTTTTTCCCTTTTTTAAAAAGCTGCCTTGTCTTTTATTCCCACCAGTCAGAAAATAACTAAGTCAAAATGCAGGTTAGTAGCATCAAACTGCATGGAAAATGTTCTTCCTTTCTACGGTTACTCTCATCTTGCATGACTAATTTGTCTGATCCCCGATATTTTCATCACTTGTTCTTTTCCTCTGATGTCACCAGAGAAACAATGCTCTGGTTTACATTTTTTTTACCCTCGCCTAAATTCCTGCTGTCTACTCCTAATCATTCACACTCATTTGTTTTTGTTGTTTTACCACTCCTCAATTTCATTAAACGCTGGTACAAGTGAACATGTAGAGCATTCACCCAGATTTGTGTGAAGATGAAAAAGTGATAGAAGTTTGTTACAACCGAGTAAAACTGATTGTGTGTCAGTCGTCAGTGGCGACGATGGAACCGATTCTGCCGCAGGAAGTGTCGCGCGGCTGTGAAGTCGGTGACCTTCTATTGGCTCGTCATCATCTTGGTGTTCCTCAACACTCTCACCATCGCCTCTGAGCACTACAACCAGCCAGACTGGCTGACTGAAGTTCAGGGTATCTGTTTTACTTCTTTATATTCCTTTGGGTGTAAATGCACTCTTATGAGAATTCTGACAATATTCCTCTAAAAAAAAATCTTTTCTCTTTGTCAGATGTAGCCAACAAAGTTCTGCTGGCGTTGTTCACTCTGGAGATGCTTGTGAAGATGTACAGTTTGGGCTTACAGGCGTACTTTGTGTCCCTGTTTAACCGCTTTGACTGTTTCGTGGTGTGTGGTGGCATCGTAGAAACCATCCTGGTGGAGTTTTCCATCATGTCTCCGCTGGGAATCTCAGTGTTACGCTGCGTACGCCTCCTCAGAATTTTCAAAGTTACACGGTGAGCAGTTTTATTATTAATGATCTTATTTGGCCCTCAGCGATAAAGGCTGCTGCATGTATAAAATCAAGAAGACAAGCCAAAGTAACTTAGAGACTAAAAAAAATTGAAACTAGGTAATTGCATTTCTTACAAAAATGCTGTGTGAATTTTGTTGAAGAACTTGCTAAAAAACTGCTGAAATCAGATTAAATATGCTGAAATGGATAGCAGAAGTAAGCAGAAAGAACCCATATTAGCTGAATTAGGTTTAAATAAGCAGAAATTAGCACAAAAATTAGAAAATTAGTTAAAGCTGAAATTATTAAAACAAATTGCTGAAAAGTAGCTAAAAAGACAGAAGGAAATGGAAGGAGCTAAAATAAGCTAAAACATGTGGAGTTAGGTGAAAAGGGTAAATTTTGCATAAAACAACTATAAAGTAGCTGAAATAGCAGAAAAACGATTAAACTAGCAGAAAAAAGCTGAAAGGAGCATTACAAGCTGAAATTAGCAGAAAGAAGTTAATTAGGCTGAAAGTAGCAGAAATTACCATGAAAAGCTTGAATTAATCTGAAAACAGCTGAAATTAGCTAAGAATGCAAAGTAAATAAATAAATAAATAAATAAGCTGAAAAGGTAGAACAAGCTTAAAATAACAGAAGAAAGCAGAAAACAAACATGTTAGCCGAAAGAAGCAGAAATGAGCACAAAAAGGTGGAACATATCCGAAAAAAGCTGAAGTTAGCAAAAGACAGCTGAAAAGTAGCTAAAAAAAGCAGGAAGAAATTTAAATTACCAGAAGGAAGTGAAAAGAGCACAATTTTGCTGAATTAGGCTGAAAAAAGTTTAAATGAGCGCAAAAATTGTGGAATTAGCTGAAAAAGCTAAACTTAACACAGAACTGTTAAAAAGTAGCTGAAATAACTGAAACTAGCAGAAATATGCTGAAAGGAGCACAAAAAGCTGAAATTAGTAAAAAATAAATTAATCAAGCTCAAAGATGCAGAAATGAGCACAAAAAAGTGGAAATTATATGAAAACAGCGGAAATTAGCTAAAATGTTACAAAGCAAGCTGAAAAAGTAGAACAAGGTTAAATTAGCAGAAGAAAGCATAAAAATCATGTTTGCCCAATTAGGCTGAAAGAAGCAGAAACACGCACAAAAAAGCGGAAACTATTGGCAAAATTTCAAAATCAGCAAAAAAACAGCTGAAGTAGCTTAAAAAGCAGGAAGAAGCTTAAATTACCAGATGGAAGTGGAGAGAGCACATTTTTGCTGAATTAGGCTGAAAAAAAGTTTAAATGAGTGCAAAAAATATGGAATTAGCTGAAAAAACTTACACTAGCATAAAACAGTTAATACAGTAGCTGAAATAGTAGAAAAAAATGCAACTTGCATAAATAAGTTGAAAGGAGCATAACCAGCTAAAATTAGCAGAAAGAAGTTAGAAGAAGCACAAAAATGTAGTTGGCAGAAATAATTTGAAACTTGCACCAAACAGCTGAAAAAATAGCTGAAAATAAATGGTTACATTTGCACAAGGAAGCTGAAAGAAGCTGAACCAGAACAAAATGTGAAAGGAGCAGTAAAAGGTTGTAAACAGATCTAAAGATTTGAAGGAGGTAAAATGAGCTCAATTCATTTTCTGTGAAAATTAAAAATGGCAGAAAAGGCTAAATATCTCAAAAAGCTAAAGTTGCATCGATACCAAAAGTCATAACAGGATTATCCTGAAAGAGCTGAACGTTTTGATATGATTTGTTGAAATAGCTTGAAAACTGCGGGATGAGAGTCGTGCCGAAAAATGTACGGAAGAAAAATGTATCACAATAGTGTGACTGCTTCATAAACATTCACACAATAAACCAAACAGATCAGATCAGCTTCTGGTGTACTTCTGGTTGGAAATTTAACCACTTGTTTTGACAAAATTTGAAGAGTTCAGTAAACTGACTTAATGGTTCACACGCTTTATAAAAAGGATATAATCAGGACTTTGAGAAGGCCGTTCCAGAAGCTTTGTGTTAGTCACTGTTAATGGCATCAATCCCCACGATGAGACTATGTAATCTGCAACTGTATATTCAGCTTAGAGTCCTTGACAGGGTAAGTTCAAACCAAAAGCTCCTTTTTTTATGAGCCACCAGGGGTGAAGGACCTGAAAGACAAAATGTCCTCTAAAGAGATTTAAGTTTTCCACATGTCTTCCATAAAACAAGAGCAGTTTGATTGTCCAGTCAGGCTTTCTGACAAAATTTAGGTTAATCCAAACCAATCCTTTATTCCCCCACAAAGATAAATCCTGCTCAGAACACTATTCATGCCTTGTATCAAATATAGTCCTTTTATTTCTTCCTCATCTGAGTGTCCCTTCATCCGTTTGTTTGTTGCTCTGTTAAACTTGTGTTTGTCTCTTCCAGTCACTGGGCGTCTCTCAGTAACCTGGTGGCCTCTCTGCTCAACTCCATGAAGTCCATCGCCTCCCTGTTGCTGCTTCTCTTCCTCTTCATCATTATATTCTCCCTTCTCGGGATGCAGCTGTTTGGGGGCAAATTTAACTTCGACGAGACAGTGACCAAACGGAGCACGTTTGACAACTTCCCTCAGGCGCTGCTCACTGTGTTTCAGGTTTGCGTCTGATTCACTGTATGACAGGATCAGAGCTGAGAGAGGGTTGCACCTCTAGCATATTATGACTCGTTCTGTTAAAATACAGGTTTTACTAAATTTAGCGGTTGATTTGAGTGTCTCGTTAAATCAATGTTTCAATTTCCCTCCATCCTCTGTGTTCGTCAGATCCTGACAGGAGAAGACTGGAACACGGTGATGTATGATGGCATCATGGCATACGGTGGTCCGGCCTCATCTGGAATGGTGGTCTGCATTTACTTCATCATCCTCTTCATCTGTGGAAACTGTATCCTGCTCACTACACTAACACACCAAATAAACTGATATTAATTTAATACCAAACAAACTACCAGTAAGTGATTTTATCCATCCACGCTTCGTCCTTTTTGGGTCGCGGGGATCACTGGTTCCCATCATGTTTATCCTCATTTTTCCATTGACTCACAAATTCAGACATCTTGTTAAACGTCTTCTTGGCCATCGCTGTTGATAACCTGGCAGATGCAGAGTCTCTCAACTCAGCTCAGAAGGAGGAAGAAGAGGCCAAAAAGAGGAAGAATAGTGCCAGGTGCAGTTTAAGACACTTTAATCTGAACTATTTTAACTTGTTTTCATGTTGCTGTTTATTTCTAACACCTGTCATCAGCATTTTATTCTTGCACAAAGTGTCTCTTTTCATTCTTAATGACTGTTTTTTGTTGTTGTCTTTATCAGAGACCTAAATCCAGATAAGAAAATTGAAGTGACAGAAGTCAGTGATGGTGACACCAAGGTAACAGAGTAGTTCAGATTCTCTTCATAAATCTTTCAGACTGTTCTAATAAATTGCACTATTCCAATGTTATAGTGTATTATTGTGTTTACATTTGCTCAATAAATAGACACATTAAAAACTTTAATCATCTTTACCTCATTTAGGTGCCGACTGAGGCCTTGCTACAGGGAGACAAAGAGTCACATTCTGCCAATGAGTCTCCAGGTAAAATGTTTTATTTTAGAGGCAAATATACATAAATACTCAAAATGCTGCTGAATTCATAGGTCAACTTTCATATATTAAGCTAGGAACATAATAAACAATTTAATCACATTATAGATTACGTAAGCAACGAAATGCTGAAAAAGCAAAACGTTATAAATCTCAACACAAAGATTAAAAAAAAGATCAACTGAATCTATTTTTGTTTTTGCTTTCAGAAGCACTGGTAAACTACAAATTTAAAAATATATTACGAAACAAATACATTTTAAAATATATTGTGAAACAAATATTGTACAAAGTCAAAGTGAAATTTATTTATAAAGCACATGTAAAAACAACAGGTTGTTAAGCTCTGAACGATAAAAGACAAATGTAGAGATTAAAAGAAAAAAAAATCAATAAAATGAATTAATTAAAAAATATAAGAAAATAAACATAGAATACAGAACAATAAAATGCTAAAACAACTCACACTGGGTTAAAAGTCGGTGAAAACAGATGTGTTTTTCAAATAGATTTAAAAACAGGAAGTGAAGAGGCGTGTAATGTTGGGGGGCAGATTGTTCCACAGTTTAGGAACCGCGACTGAAAACGCCCGATCTCCTCTGAGCTTCAACCTGGTTTTCAGGACAACCTGATCAAATGATCCCAGCGCCCGAGAAGGAACAGAAAGTTGAAGTAGGTTTATGAGGGTGTGAGACCGTTGAGGCATTTATAGGTGAACGAGAATATTAAAATATTCTGTGACTCACAGGGAGCCAGTGAAGGGAGGATAAAACTAGTAAGATATGATCAAACCTACGAGTTCCTAAGAGCTGAGCTGCAGTATTTGGGGCAAGCTGTGAAACTGAGACCTGACTGACCCCAACAGAGCAAGTTACAGTATTCAAGTCGGGTCAGAATGAACGCATGGACTATTTTCTCCAGGTCAGGTCTGGTCAACACTGACTTCAGCTAAACTGTGTGTTTTAACTGGAAGAAGCTTTTCTGCAACACACAGTTAATCTGCTTATCAAACTGAAAATCAGAGTCTAAAATCATGCCCAGATTTGTAACAGACTGATAAGATACCGCTCAGTAGAGTCAAGGTTTACATTAAGGGTACAGCAGTAGAGCCAGGGCTGAACACAACTTCACTTTTCTTGTTAAAACTTCAACAATTTGAAACAGGTGAGGGTGACAACGACAACGATGATACTGACAACCTCCCACCCTTGGGACCCCGACCCCAGCGACTCGCTGAGCTCACCCTAAAAGAAAAAACTCCTCCCATCCCAGAGGGCAGCGCCTTCTTCATCTTTAGCAGCACCAACCCGTGAGTCTCATGCTTTTTGATGATGAAATGTTACAATAAAACACTGTTATTAAACCTATTTCACGTTTTGCCTTCTGGGACTGCTTTTTTGTTCTGCTGTCTGTTGCCGCAGGTTTCGTGTGCTCTGCCATAAGCTCATCAACCATCAGATCTTCACCAACCTCATCCTGGTCTTCATCATGCTCAGTTCCGTTTCTCTGGCTGCAGAGGACCCCATACGCAACTTCTCTGCTCGCAACATTGTATGTAAACCAATGATACCTACTGAAAAGTACTCCGCAGTTAAACACTTTCTAGGAAAGATGTGTTAACCATAATTTGCTAAAAGTCTTTTTGACACTTCTTTCACGTATTACACTGAAAAGAACTACTGGGTATAATGGCATATTTAATTTTAGCTGCTTCATACCTGGTAGTTAACTGTGACACTGGCAAACATTTACACACGTCACTAAAGAAGAACTGTTATTAATCAATTAGACGTCTGCTTTGCAGGTCCTTTTAAAAATGATTTAAAAATTTGTCTTTGACATGACAACCTGCATAAATAATTGATGTGTTTCTAATTCTATTCATATTGCAAGGATGATAAACCAAAGCAAGTTGCTCTATGTAATGTTTGTGGTGAAGCCCAAGTATTTTTATTTTTAGATAACATCACCAGGAGGTAATATTAAATGGTGACATTAGGTTATAAAGTATATGCATGACTTTACTTGTTACGTTCTGGGCTCAGACCAGTTCATTTTAGCTGTGTTGTGACAAAACAACACAGCTGAATATTTTATTCCAGCCTCAAAATGCATCCAGAGATGGTTCAATCATGCCAGGTTGTGTATGTAGCTGTCAGGTCTGTGATTTTAAAAAGAATGCTTTTTATGGTTTGTGGCTTGTGCAGAACACAAGAGCAATTGAAAAACTCCCACACTGCCGATGACCTCATAGTTACACTATTTCTGCAAACAAAAACCACAGTAGCTGCAGGCAGAAGACTGCTCTGAAAAAGCAGCTAAAGCTTAAATAAAAACTTTAAAAGATGGAAAAATTAAAAGTAAAAAAAAAAAATATATATATATATATATATATATATATATATATATATATATATATATTAAAATTATGAGAAAATTATAAGAAAGTTTGGCTCCTTAGGTGTAAAATTTAAAGAAATGATGACTAAATATAGCTGATTAGCTTTGATGGCTAGGTAGCTAACTAGCAAGCAAGCTCGTTTTTAACCTTTTGTTGCATTTATTTTGCTCTCTATGTTGGAATTACAGAATTCAAAGTTGGAAAAATTGGGCTCAAATGTCTCCAGAGTTTGACTTTCTACTCAAAAAGTTGGAGTTTTCTGACCAGTATCAACCTAAAATTTAACATGGCTTCCTTGCACATGAAAAGCTGTGATAGGTGCAGTAATAAACTTTTAATTTCCACTTCTTTTGGTTTGTATCTCAGTAATCCAGCCTTTTTCACACACGCAGGACTGTCCAACCTTTATTCATGTTGTTGCAGTGTTTAGGGCTGGGCGATATGGACCAAAATTAATATTTCAATATTTTAAGGTGAATGGTGATATACGATTTATATCTCGATACCTTTTTCTTTCATAAAGTAATAACAAAAATATATTTCTGAGTCAAAACTTTAAATGTCCCAGTTGTCACACAGGCACATTTATTAACAAACAGCTGTAACTGTACAAAATAAATGTCTAAACTATTTAGATATATTAAATAATAATCCTCTTCAGCTGTGCCACTTTCACGACGTTAGCCCTGTTGTCTTTAGCCGTATTGTTCCACAGTTGAGACTGGGACCGTGTCTTTAGCGATATAAGCCACTGTTCTATTAATGCCACACTACCTCTCATTGTTCCTCTCATAAGACACGACACGGCTAAATGAGTTTTGTACCGTGGTTTGTCTCAGGGAAGGAGGCAGGTCAGTCGGAGCTGCAGCTTCACGCACGCTTCATACTCCACTTATAGCACTGTTTTAAACGGTGAAAAAGATTTATAGTTCCGACCTTTTGTCGGGACTTGTTTTTGGCATTGTCTACAGAAATCATTTTCTGCTGCTTATTTGACAATTTAAATCCAAACCATCTCCAAATAACAGCCGTTGTTTTTCTTTTTGCTCACCTGCTCAGCTGCTATTCGATAACCTGTCCTGCGTTTACTTGTGCTAAACTTCCCGCCCGCCTGCAGGAGCAGGAAGCGCACACGGGTGAGGGGGCTGGGTTTGTATTCAGTGAGGGAAAAGGTGGGGCTGTGTGAAGTTGGTGGCACAGATGAGAGAAAAAGAACTACACAGATTTTCAAGTCTAATTATAACTCAACGTAGAAATATCGATATAGACGATATCTCGATATTTTTTAAATATCAAGATATCGCCCAGCCCTACTTTGAATACAGTAAAATATTTTGTTGTTGGCTGTTTTTGCTTATGGTCGTTACTGTGGTCACTGAGCACAACAATTATAAAATACTATTGTTTACCCTCCTGCTGCCCTTTGGTCTAAATGACCCACAAGACCTCATTTCTGAAATTAAGACCTCATGGGCCGTTTTGAGGGCAGCAGCAGGATTAAGTCAGGTCTGACATCGTCCCCAGATGTTAGTTCTGACATCTGAAGTTAATGGAAAGCAGTATTTCTTGAGATAGCTAATTGTAGCTGAAACGGGGGTGACTTAGTCATATTTATCATACATTTTAGTTTTAATTTTTTTTTTTACTTAGGAAAGATTAACTATGATGGAAGGCATACCCAAGAATCACATTTGACAAACCTTCTAAAAACTCTGAAACCTTTTTACATTAAGATACGACTACAGTTTTGTTTTTCTTTGTACTGTAGCTAGAAGTATTTGACAGATGACTCGGTGTGCTGTTATCCTGGAATGACTTAAACTTGTGCTTTTTGCAGATACTTGGTTATTTTGACTATGCCTTCACGGCAATCTTTACTGTTGAGATCCTGTTGAAGGTAAATGTTCTGTGCGTGCTGTGTTGTGCTGTGTTGGGTAGAGCTGCAGTAACCCTGCGTGCTTATGTCACTCTGATTGCCTCCTCAGATCCTAAGTTATGCAGACTATGTCTTCACTAGTATGTTTACATTTGAGATCCTTATTAAGGTAAACGAGAAGAACTGTTGTCGCGTCAGCAACAATTTACCACTTCCGAGCTTGCTGCACACATCACCCCTCCCGTCATTTCTGTATATTTTTAATTTTAGGAATGAACGCCTGCTCATCTTGTTGATTTAACGCCAAGCTGTCAATGTGGAAACTGTGCATTTTTGTTAATTATTGTTTTTTTTTTGTATGCCAGTCACTTTTACAAGCCTTAAGATTAAGTTTGTCAGAGGATTTGGGGGCCCGTTTGTGGTACTGTTTGAAGATCAGTCTGTTCTGTAACAATTTCTGCTCTCTGTTATGTGTTAACATCTTGCATTATTTATACTTGTACATTTATGTATGTGTGTGCAGCAGTGTGCATGTATGCATCTCTTAATGCACTCATTTTAAAGACATTTGCTTTTGAATGTGAACCCTGGCTTTTCAAATCATGCTAAGTATTGAATTGGTTGACGTATTTCTGCAAATACTGCTTAATATTTTCTAAACCCCAAATCAAATATCAGTTAACTTGTTTGTTTGTTTGTTACTGGGATGCAAAAAGATAATCCACATAATGAAATGAAAGCTGAAACACAATACAGTGGTCCCTCGTTTATAGCGAGGGATCCGTACCTTAAAGCCCCGCGATAAGTGAAAAAACATGAAGTAGGAATAGTAATACAAATAGTACGTAGTCATATATATATGTATACATATATATAAAGACATTTTAAACCTTTCCCACACTCTTGCAATATTCTAAAAAAAATGTTTCTAAACTCTAAATGCTCTAAAAGATCACAGCATGCCATGATTTCAGCTCTCTGCCTCTGGCTGCTCTCTGCGCTCTTGGCCACGTCCACTTCTCTGCTTTACATTTAGAACAGCTGATCAGCTGCAGCAGGAAGCTTATCCTGCAGTAAGGGCTGCACAATGGTGCAGCAGGTGCTAAATAATTTAAAATAATTTATTTAAAATAAAAATTCCATGCCGATCGTGCGGCTCATCCATCAGTCAGCCAATTGTGTGTCATGTCCAATCTTATTTTGAAAAACCGCGATAGAGCGAGTTTGCGATAAATGAACCGCGAAGTAGCGAGGGACTACTGTATTATTGTGAATGATTATGAATGTACACACAAACTTGTACAAAATGTAACAAAATGTTGCTAAAATTATTGTTTTGATGAAATCGTTGTCATATATTTTTGCGGATGACGGCGTTTGTTTATCTAACAGTCGTCTCTTGTTTATTCAGATGACAGCTTTTGGAGCATTCCTTCATAAAGGAGCATTCTGTAGAAACTACTTCAACCTTTTAGACCTGCTGGTTGTTGGTGTGTCTCTTGTCTCCTTCGGCATTCAGTAGGTATCATCCTATCTCTTTACAATAGAACACATTTAACCGTTTAGGTTGATGTTTCCTTAAACAGAATGAATCTGTTTTTAACCAATATTAATTATTGCACTTCAGGTTATGCAAGTGGGAACAAAATGAATTTGCTGTCATATTTCTTGAAATGGGTCATTTGAATGCACTTATATCTTTCGTTGCCCTCAACAGATCCTCTGCTATATCAGTTGTGAAGATTCTTCGTGTTTTGAGAGTTCTCCGTCCACTCAGGGCCATCAACAGAGCCAAGGGACTCAAGGTGAGAATGTTTATCTATCTCTTTTAATTTCTGTGGAGTCAATTTAGTATATTTGTTTCTGACACAAGTCTATGTACTTGAACTGACAGTTTGATCACTACATTCCTTGCAGCATGTAGTGCAGTGTGTATTTGTAGCCATCAGGACCATCGGGAACATCATGATTGTCACCACGCTGCTGCAGTTCATGTTTGCTTGTATTGGAGTGCAGCTCTTCAAGGTACAAGAACAGAGAGTTTTACAGAGCAGAGTAATACAAGAACGCTTGATGATAATTTGGCTTTTTGTCTTATCTAATGTGCTCCTTATATAAAAAAAATACATCTGCACAATTTATTCAAAATCCTTGATATATCTGTTATTTTAGGGTAAATTCTATCGATGCTCAGATGATGCAAAGTCCAGCCCAGATGAGTGCAAGTGAGTTCTTGAAATTTGTTTCTGGTTTCCAGAGTTAGCAGAGGTCTTTTGTAGTGTGTCTATGCTTTGACAGTGTTGCGCTCAACATGATTTTGAATCATAGGGGAACGTACATTCTGTACAACAATGGGGACGCAGCACTGCCCATGGTGAAGGAGAGGATTTGGCACAACAGCGACTTCAACTTTGACAACGTCCTCATGGCCATGATGGCTCTTTTTACCGTCTCCACCTTTGAGGGATGGCCAACGTAAGTCAAGTTTGCTTTTGAGTTTATATTTAACTCCTCAAATCTTTTGCCACCATTTATAACAGTCAAAAGTATGGACATAATAATGTTGTTAACAGTGAATTTCAAATCTGTCTGTGCATGTGCACTTAAAGATACATCTAATACTTGTTGATGTATTTCATCTGATAATAATGCATGAAACAAAAGAAAGTTTACATGGGTATTAAGCATTCATGAGGGGCATTTTGTGTCCCAACAGTCTGTTGTACAAAGCCATCGACTCTAACAGAGAGAACATGGGACCCATCTACAACTACCGCATCGAGATCTCCATCTTCTTCATCATCTACATCATCATCATCGCCTTCTTCATGATGAACATCTTTGTTGGTTTCGTCATTGTTACCTTTCAGGAGCAGGGAGAAAAGGAGTACAAGAACTGTGAGCTGGACAAGAACCAGGTAGGTATTGGAGTTTTTCGTGTGCATGCCATTGCTCTTTATGTGCTGAAGTAATATGCCAGTGATTGGTCCTCAACACAATCTGCTTTTTGCTTCCCTGCAGCGTCAGTGTGTAGAGTACGCACTAAAAGCCCGCCCTCTGCGTCGCTACATCCCTAAAAATCCCTACCAGTACAAGTTCTGGTATGTGGTCAACTCCACTGGCTTTGAGTACGTCATGTTTGTCCTGATCATCCTCAACACCTTGTGTCTGGCCATTCAGGTATTTTTTTTTTCTTGCTGTGAATATTGCGTTAAATACATTTGCTGATAAAGTCAAATATCTGTTGATCTGTCTTGCCTGTTTCCTTTCAGCATCATGGTCAGTCTCATTTGTTTAACTATGCCATGGACATCCTCAACATGGTCTTTACGGGAGTTTTTACCGTAGAGATGATCCTCAAACTTATTGCCTTCAAACCCAGAGTAAGTCTCGTCTTATTCTTCTTCCATTTAGAGCACTTGATAATATTCCCTCCAAAAGTCTAGTGTTGAATCCTTGAACCTTTTAACTCCCCCACCTTTTCTTCCTGGACTCTTTCTGCCTTTATTGTTCACCTTCTGTGACCACACCACAATCTCTCTACCTTTTTATATTGTCCCTCTATTTGTTCCCTTCCCCTCCTACCGCTGGCTGTGTATGTCCACATATTCAGGGCTATGTTGGGGACGCCTGGAATGTCTTCGATGCTCTGGTGGTATTTGGCAGTGTAGTCGACATCATACTCAGCCAGGTAGACCAACATCAGACTGTACAACTTTGTCATTCCCCCTCCCTGCTCTCCAGTTGATGCCGCCAGTCCTTCCTACACATCTTTCCGTCTTTTCCTTTCCTTCCTGTCTCTATTTGTCCTGTCTCATCTTAAGATTTTTATCTGCTAATGTACACAAATGTGCAGAGTTCTGTATGCAAAAAAGGGTTTAATTTTTTTACTTTGAGTTTTCTCATCTTTATTTGTAGTTTAATGTTTGCGTTGTATTTATCAGCCATAGCTGCGTGTAACTTAAAGTCAAAGCATTTAGCCATTTCAGACAAAAATATAATTTTGAAACAAAATAGGCTGTATATTTTATATGAAAATTATTTTTTTAAGCTTTTTTCTTTTTTTATCCACTATCAGCATTTATATATGCAAATAAACCATCAAACTGTGTTTGTTTCTCTAACATAACACGAATGTTGATGCTGAAAAAACATGAGCGCCCCCTGCAGGCTTGGGGGTTTTGCAATCAGTATTTTAGTTTATGACTGTTATGTATGAGAGCACAGCAGTCCCTTGTTTATCACGGGGATCCGTACCCTGAAGCCCTGCGATAAGTAAAAAACCGTGAAGTAGAAATAGTAGTACAAGTAGTAAGTAGCAGTTTATTTTAGTATTTATATATATTTATATAGACATTTTAAACCCTTCCCACACTGTTGCAATATTCTTAACAATGTTTCTAAACTCTAAACGCTCTAAAAGAGCACAGAATGTCATGATTTCAGCTCTCTGCCTCTGACTGCACTCAGCCACCTGCGAGCAGTCTTGGCCACGCCCACTTCTCCGCTCTCCGCTCATTGTCACTAAACACAGTTTGCTGCTGCTTTTCAAAATGTTACTATAACTATCATGCAAGTTGTGCAATGCACAACTGCACAAAAACACCAAAGGTTCTTTGGACATAAGCTTATCTCAACTGTGCACCATGAACGCTCTGTGTTCAGAGGAGTTCACGTTTGAGCTTGCTTTATAGAAAAACAAACAAGTTTTATAAGACTAAAAAGGAAAATCATGCAGGCAATTTTACACCTCACTTTACAACAACACATATCTTGTGTTGGTACGAGTTCACATCATGGGCAAAGCATAGATGACCTGCTTAAAGACACGCTTGATGCAGAAATATAGAATGACATTTTAAAGATGCTATCGTCAAGGCAACGTGTATTCCTGAAAGGTTTGGGGATATTTCAGCAAAACAAGACCAGACCTGATTCTGCACAGTTACAATAGCAGGGCTTCATAAACACATGCTGCCTGTCTGCAGTTCAAAGACGTTCCTTAATCAAACAATATGGCCGTTTGTGAAGCGAATGCAATACATTTGACCACGGAGCACAGAGCTGTTAAAATGTTTCATCAGGAGAGAATGAATTCTGTTAGCCAAACTGCAACAACTGTCCAAACTGTTCAAATGTAATGCAGCAGAAAAAAAAAAGTTGAATGGAATGAACTGGGTTCATTTATACAGTATAAGACAAATTCACAACAAAAGCCTTCTCTTCTCTGGGTGCAATGTAAAAGAAACAAACAATTCCAAATCATAAATTCAATTCAGATCCAGATTAAAAACCAATTCAGTTCCTATTATAATATAAATAAAACACTTACATGACAATGTCCATTCGTCCATTACCTTTCATATCCATTATATTTGCCTGCCTCTTTTTTTTGGGTCACAGCGGTCACTGGTTCCCATATCCAGCAGTCACTGTGTGAGGGGCGGGGTACACCCTGGACAGGTCTCCAGTCCATCACAGGGACACATAGAGACAAACAAGACAAACAACCATTCACGCTCTCATTCACACCTAGGGACAGTTACCAGTCAACCTAACATGAATGTTTTTGGTCTGTGGGGGGAAACCAGAGTACCCGGAGAAAACCCACACATGCATGGAGAGAACATGCACACTTCACCCAGAAAGGTCCCCAGCTGGGATTTGAACTGGCAACCTTCTCACTGAGAGGCAACAGCTCTACCAACTGTGCCACTGTACCGCCCTACATTCCATTGTAAAATACCAGTTAGCAAAGGTTGTGCAACGAAGTCAGCAGGTTGTGTAACAGTTTACACATTTAGGTTTTTATTGCATTTTAGCAATGTGTGCATTTTTAGTTTATATTTGATTAAGCAAATATCTTCAGGCTTCTAGTTTGAAAGCAATTGTTGCTGAATCTACAAACTCAAAATTAACAATTGACAACTAACAGTCTGGATTTTAAAAGCAACACAACCAACCTGCTAACATAAAACTTCCATTGTAACTAAATGTGCCATCACTGTTCAGCTTTAACCCTATTCTGACCAGTACTTAAACAATTTATAAAGTGATTTATGAATTATAAGCTTATTAACAGACAGAAAGGGCTAGTGCTCTCACAAATGCTGGCAGAAAGACCAACGTTCATCCTCACTCAGTTTATCAACCTTTTCATGTACTTCTCTCTGTCTTTCACACTTCTTTTCTCCATCACCTCTTCTTCCTCCTTGCCTCTTTTCTTTCTCTCTCTTCCTTTTTTCTGTGTTTCTTTGTTGCCTGTGCTTGCAGAACTATTTTGCTGATGCATGGAACACGTTTGATGCCTTAATTGTTGTGGGTAGCGTGGTTGACATTGCCATCACTGAGATCAATGTAAGTAATCATCATCGCAGGTCTTTAAATGTGCCCTCCCCAGCTTGCCCTAGCATCAGAGTTGCCTTCATCTTTAT